AGCAATGAATCATTAATTGAATGAAAGTTTTTGATGAGAATATATATTCCCTGAATGTTCAATGAAATATCATTGAAAACTTTCGATGCATTTTGTGGTATAAATAAATAGTGAAAAATCTCTGACAAGAAGTCACGCACTGTTATCTTCTAATGGCAATAATTTTCTAATTCAGCACTTGATATGAGTTGGCATTAGTGGCAAAAATACTTTATATAAAGCCATGTCTTGTATCTCTGTTACTAGTTTATTGATAGTATGGGTCAGACCAGGCGGTGGGCCAGCGGTGAGTAGTGTTAGTGCTCTTTATATGAGAATTTCTTTTCCATTTGTGTTATAATAACTTCGAGATAGAGAGACGCCAATAGATATTACATGAAAAGACAAAAACCCAATACATATAGCCTTCGGATATAACAAACGTATTGCAAAACAAAAGATTATTGCACTTAAACGCCAATACATGTCAGATATCTGTGTAATAGGTTTTGCACGCAATCGGCGATTGTTTAGACCAACGAAATTAAGATATGCGACAAAACACGTGAAGTGGCGTACAGTAGACGATGGGATGAGAGGTCGAGGAGGTTATACAGGGACCCAATTCAGTCATACATTTGCAATTATTAATACAATTTATTCCATATTATTATAATATACAATATATATAATTACAATATATAAAATTTTGCGTTTATTCAAATTTAAAGTATTTTCAACTCAATACAATATTATAAGTAAAGTATTATACTTTACATGGATTTTGTCATGAAATATGTAATATGGATTTAAAGATATGCGACAAAACACGTGAAGTGGCGTACAGTAGACGATGGGATGAGAGGTCGAGGAGGTTATACAGGGACCCAATTCAGTCATACATTTGCAATTATTAATACAATTTATTCCATATTATTAGAATATACAAAATATATAATTACAATATATAAAATATATAATTACAATATACAAAATATATAATTACAATATATAAAATTTTGCGTTTATTCAAATTTAAAGTATTTTCAACTCAATACAATATTATAAGTAAAGTATTATACTTTACATGGATTTTGTCATGAAATATGTAATATGGATTTGGTCATGAAATTGATGTTGGTTTTAATATTATTTAATTACTGATATTAATATTAATTGTTTGTACAATATATCAAACAAATGATTTAAATCGATTCACTGATTGACTACATCTTAAAATATAATATTGTATATTGTTAATGTTTAAGATGTGTAACAAACGAGAAGCTCATCAGTCCTTTCAGAGGAACTTATAATTCAGAAAATGGACATCAAGTGAGCCTTTATTCATATCTGAAAGCATTTAGGTTTGTCTTTCTATCCATATATTCGATATGCAATTTATATTTGCTGTTTAAACATTAGATTTACTGGAAGTCCTGCCTTATATCTGGAGTGCGATATCCATATGTGTCACAATAAGTGTCCCGTATGTTACGATTCACTATTTATTGAATTGATTTTGAATTGAATGCCAACTTTGTCTTTAATATAGCCACAAAGATGTTACTGGCGCAATCTCTCCAAACGTTCAGTCGATTCACAACTCAACACAACGACAGACAAGCCTTTAGTCTCAGAGAGTATTAGTTTATTTCAATCACTGGAAGTGAGACAAGAATCGGATCAAAAAGATATCGCGAATAACTCATCGGAATTCAGTATAAAAACTCAGCAAATGGTTGACTGAATGAATGATATTGATTAATATTTTGCATTCTGTGTTCAGGCAGTGATAGCGAGCGAAGTAGTGTATGTTTGCGATCGGATGGTGTGGCGGCTGTTGTCATATCGGTGTTCGTACTGCTGGTGATGTCGTTCTCGCTGTCGATCGGGTGTTGTATGAAAATGCGACGATTGAAGTACTGTCAGAGGCATATGGTTGACGCCTCGTCCCTCTATAAGAACAGTTATGACACCATATATTCCTATCCACACAACGAGACAACACATTCCCGACGTTTCTAATAAAAAGCTAATACTCAGTACAACAACCAGTAATTGATTGACAATTTCAAAAGAAACGACACACGACTTGTATTTAATTACATTCTTCATTAGTTATATGTCTTAAAAAGCGCATTGAATTAATAAATTTACATCACTGTCTGGTGAAGGGATTTGGGTTCGGACCTCAAACTAATTCATTCACTTGTAAACCATTTGTCTTAATATTAAACATATCCTTAAGTTAGCAGTCGATTGTTACAAATGTTTGGCTAAATTCAAGTCATCAATAAAAACCATATAAATAAATAACAAACAAAAAATACAAATAATGATAAAAATATTTAAATGAATAACTTTTCAATTTTATTTATTACTTCATAATAATAATGAAACATATTTTTAAAAGTTATGCTCAAAACAAAATTGATTTTTCAATCCATCAATTGTTTAGTTTAATATTTTTATAACGATTAATTTATCAATAAAACTATAATTTATGTGCATTCCTTTCAATTATTTTGATATATATTCAATCAAATATAATAATATGCATTTGATTTCAATATTAACATAGATTTCATTGTCTCATAACATCTATTTGATTAAATACGATATACTTTATAATGACATTAATAGTTATCTAATTAGTAGCTCTTATATAGTTTTGAGATAAAATACATTTCATTAAAATATGCCATTTTTACACTTTTTTAAAACTCTTAAAATATAATTATTTCTTTAAATATGGTTTAAACTCATAATATAATACAATCAATACATGGATTACATAATTAGAAAATCAAATATCGAGAAAAGAAAACGAAACGAAAACTAATGAGAAGAAGGGTTACGAATATTTGGGATTAACGGGACATTGAGTGAAGGATCGCAACTCGTATGGCAAGAGTCCATTAATAGTGGCCACATCCAGATCGTGCTTTCGGAACACTATTATCCGCACATCCGTGTGAAGGTATATACGACCAGATTTAGAACTCTCAACCCTATTATAGATAAACATATAATCAAATTACTTTTATATTATAACAAATGATTCAATTAATATGAATAGTGTCTTATAAATGTCTTATTAATACTACTTGACTAATACAATGAAAATTCTCAAACGTTATTTCATTGTGTTTAACAATATAATATCTTAATTGAGAGTTCTTAACTACCTCTCAACAAACACATTAATTTATGCAAATTATTCATGTCTGAGACAATTGTTAATTTTATGGGCAGTTATTTAAATTTATACAAAATGTTCTCGTTTTAATTATAAAATCACTATGTCCACAACTTCTGGTTAATATACATATGATATACTGTGGAATGTAAATTTACACCATCATTTAAAATACAGTATGATAGTATCATACATTAATTCTTATATACTTTGCATTCAAATTATAATGAATATTATTTATTCACTAAATTAACAATTTATCAGATGCTTCAAAAATTCCAATCAATTCCTTATTTATATCATTTCCAGTTATTTTAAGAATAAATTTCATATTAGTTTTGAAACAAATTAATCTCAAATATTCAAACAAATAAAACTTGTATGTGATTTGTGTTATTAATTGTTTACGTTTTTCTTTTTCTATCGACTCTTTTAATAATTTTATCGTTTCAATAATAAATAGCCTCTAATTTTCATGCTTTACATCAATCAAAATCTTTAAAAATTATAAATTATTTCTTAATTTAAATGTTGTCTCAACTCAATAGCAATTCACACATAAATTATTAAAATTGTAAACAACCGCTAAATTGGTAAATGTCTGCTGAAATGCAAACGACTTATAAATTAAAAATATATTTTTTGAATTAAATAATCATTTAAAGTGAATATCAAGTGAATGTATACCTGAGATGAATGAGATATCGAAGCCATTTGCGATTGTCGGCGTCGTTCTCGTGGGCATCGCTCGGCATAAACAGTGTTCTCTGCCGTAAAAATGTCTTACTATTGGGCGGCATATCTGAGAGATCGTATCGCACGACAAACATCTTGACAACAGTTCCGTGTGGATTGAATAGAGTCTGCATTCAAAATCAATTTCCACGTTAAATATATCAACACTAATAACAGTACAATGCATTGCATTGTTTGTGAGTCTTACGGCCTGAACGGTGCCCTTCCGTGGGATGTGATAACCTTTTTTGCCCAAATTTATGTGACCCTATGTTTGCATATAATATTCACATTAGTTTATGAATTGTCAAAATTGTGTTTTGAGTCAAATACCAAATAAGGAGAGGAAACTCTGTCCAATTTATCAGAGTCTTGCAGTGTATAGAAGAATACGGTTACGGGATATGTCTTATGTCGGGGACAAAAACTACCGCTCGCTCCCAATTCGGCTGTAAATCCGTGAACAGTGCTCACGGGTTCTATCCGTCCATTCAATACAGATTCCTAATTATAGTTTTAATAAATTTATTAATTATATTTCTAATCAATGAGAGAGAGAGAGAAAGACCCGGAGGCTGAGCCCACTCCACAAACTACTCCTTTAAGCACAAGCGCACCACCATCCACTACCATCAGCAGTCTTCTGGGCAATTTCGAAGTATATTCCTCTCTCTCTCTCTCTCTCTCTCTCTCTCTCTCTCTCTCTCTCTCTCTCTCTCTCTCTCTCTCTCTCTC